TTTGTTTGCAGATCGCTGTGATTATGTATCCTAGCTTATCCCAGAAACATGAAACAGGTTTCCAGTATTTCTTCTTTACAGTTTTTCTATTTTTCTGAGGAATGATGAGAACGGTGAGCAGTACCCTTTCCCCTCTCTCTGGCCGCACTGATCTGTTTATCTCGTTGTGGCTGGTGTTCCTCCTGTGTGCTAAACTGCGTTGTTCAGCGTAACTTTGTTCTTGAAACATATTCACCTAGAGTTAGAAATAGTTCCATGTTTCCAATCTAATGCTCGCCAATGGTAAACCAGTGCGGGATTCACTTTCTATTTGGGTAAAAACACAACCAATATCTGGTAAATAGGGACGATTTGAGGAAAGCCCTAACACAGCCTTCGAAGCAAAAAAGGAAATCTTGCCCAGTCGGTGAATTGTCATTCATTCAAATGAGTAAGTGAACACAAAAGGTAGCCCTCAGTTTGCTTCTTGCTGTTGTGTAGAGCGTAGCTGTTATTTGTAAATGTTGTTTCTGTTTGATCATTGTGATATTTGTTTATCTAAAGAGGTATGCCTGTTTTAGATTCTATTCTGTACCGATATCGACAGCAAGGAAAATTTTGCGGTGAAGAAAATCGTCAAACATTCACGTGAAAGCGAAGAGCGGATAGTGAACGAAGTTAGTCGAGTCTCTATCACCGTAAATCATGTATTTAGCCGGCATCTATTTCAAACATATTGAGTAACTTGGAGAATTATTTAACTACGTATAATCTTAACTCTTTTATTTACTGCCTTTTTCTTCTTAATGGCAGGTTATGTTGCGATATATAACTCGTATGAAATGCTGAGTGGAGAACGAACACGCGCTGTTGTCCTTACCGGGGAGCAGCGCACTTCACCACTACACCATCCGGTTCTCCACTGCATACACCTGTGGTCCGGAGTTTTGCAAATATCTCAGCATTTCATATAACTACGTATATTTAACCCAGGGAGCTGATATCACAGTGGTAGTGACGTCCATCATCACTAGCATGGTGCTAGTTTGATTCCGCTCAGGGCCAACCAAGCCGCTTGTCCTCCCGGGTTCGGGAAATTGGTACCAGACTTGTCTGGGAAAAGAATCACTACAATCCAGTTGGGAACGCTTGAGCCCAGTTATCTCAGGAGTTCAGAGAGAATTGCTGGACCAGCATTTAAGACATTAAGATAAAATAAAATTCCTCAAGCGCCAACCTAAGCCACACGTAAAAACTTAGAAGATCTTCGTGGACAATGGGTGCGAGCAAACGAATCGAATGTGAGAAGTGCTGGGATCCGCACAGTGGACGTGAAGTCATATAAATGAAATAAAATAAATATATGTTCTTTCTTTGATAAGTTTACACGAGGTTGATATACGATATTTATTCGGCTAGCGTTTCAACGTCTTCGTCTTCATCAGAACCGGCGATCCGAGTCGATAGACCACGGTTGCTGCTGAAAATAAGTGAAATAAAATAAAAATGCTGGAATAAAAAAATAAAATACTATATTTAACCCATTTCATTTAACATGATATTAGGTGATTTCAACGAATACCTGCCCTTTCCAGCCCTGAGAAAGTATACGTTCAACTCAGAATGAATATATTAACTAAAATAAAGGCTATTATAATCTACCGATCCTTGCAAACAGTATGCGAGTTCTCCTATTCTACCAAGCTGAAATTCTGATTTTCTACACCTCATGAATCGCTTTTCTTCACATCAGCACTCATGTTGTTGATAGTGAAATGAATGAAAATACTTTGTTTCTCTGAGGAATACGCGATGCCCCATCCGTCGGCTGCCACTTTTCACTTCGTTTTTTTGGTAACTAAGAATTTTGGAGAATTTATATATATTATTTTTTTTACTTTATATAACCCATCTTCACGTCTACTGTGCGGATCCCAACACTTCTCACTATCGATTCGTTTCCTCGCAACCATCATCCACGAAGGTCTTCAAGTTTTTACGTGTGGCTCCAACTGCTTGTCAAGGATTTTCATTTCACCTTGAATGTCGTAGAATGCTGGTCGAGTGGTTTCTTCCTGGAGTCCTGAAATAGCCGGGTTGGTGCGTACCCATTTGGATTGCAGAGTGTCATTTTTTCCCGGTCAAGTCCCGTTCCAATTTCTCGAACCCCGAGGATGAGAGACTTAGTTAATCCATGAGCGGAATCGTATTAGCACCATGCTCGTGATAACGGATCATCACTGCCACTGTGCCATCCGCCCACTTGAAGTTATACATATATATACACATATACATATATATATACATATATATATGTACATCACCTGTCACCTGTAGTTCTGTTGATCGTCGAGTGATTCGAGCAGGCCCCAGTAAATCTTCCATTTTTCCCTGTCGCGTCCAAGAGTAGCCTACTGGCTTCTGCTCGTTCTAGCGACTCGTCGAGTATCATATCTTTCTTCAAGTCCCTTTGTGAAGAACTCTGACCATCGGGTCGGTGGTCTTCCTACAGCACGTTTGACATCCCGGGGAATCCAGTCACTTACGGTTCTTGTCCATCGGTTGTCATTCATACGCATTACGTGTCCAGCCCACCTTATCTTCGACTGTTTGGCGTACAGAAGGGCATCTTTAATTTCTAATCGTTGACGCAGATCGCAGCTTCGGATCCTATCCCTTGCTTGTGTGGAACGAGATACTCCTAACATCGTCCTTTCAACTGTGTGTTCGATAACGCTGAGTGACCTTTTATCCTGCTTACGCAGCGACCTGGTTTCTGACGCATTCGTTAGGTCAGGAAGCACCGTTGAGTCGAAAAGATGGGCGCGGAGTCGGGTGTTCTTTGTTTTGTTCACTACATCCTCGATGCTCTTGAAAGCTCCCCAAGCCACTCGTTTCTTTCTGCTCAACTCTGGAGCTAGGTCGTTCATCATATTGATTTCCCGACCTAGATAGACATAACTGCAGGATTTCGATATATTCGTTCCGTTGAGCGTGAATGGGGCATACGAAACCAATCCGTTCTTCATGAACATCGTTTTTGTGAAATTTAGTAGAAGACCATTCTTTCTACAGGCTTTATCAAAGTCGTCAAGCATACGTTCCACCTGGCTTATGTTTGGTGTTATAAGGACGATGTCATCAGCAAAGCGAAGATGGTGTAACTGCCGAGCGTCGATGTCCACTCCCATATTATCCCGTTCCAATGTTCGCATGACGTTCTGGAGGGTGGCGGTGAATAATTTTGGCGAGATGGTATCGCCAAAATATCGCCTCTAATGATATCAATGTTAATATCGTTGTAGAATGGTGATACCTTGGTTGTGAAACTTTCGTACAGCTCACAAAGAAACTTTATGTATTGAGTAGGGACTCCTTGACTATCAAGTGCTTTCAAGACTGCTTCTATCTCAACTGAATTGAAGGCCTTCTGTAAATGGATGAAAGTGAGACAGAGCGGTCTTTCGTACTCTCGCGACACTTCAATGTCCCTTGTTACCGTGTGGATGTGGTCCATCGTACTAAATCCTTTTTGAAACACTGCTTGCTCACATGGCTGTCCTTCGTCCAATGTCCTGTTAATCCCGTTTAGGATGATTTGAGTGAAATGTTTGTAGACGACAGGCAATAAGCAGATTGGGCGATAGTTGCCGATACCGCGCAGGTCACTCTTCTTGAACAATAACACGGTCATACTGGTCTTCCACTGAGTAAGGGCCTTGCATTCAGACAGATAACGTGTGAAGAACCGAGCCAGCGTGTTTACGAGGATTGGCGGAAGGTTCTTCAGGTGTTCTGGTCTTATTATGTCCGGACCTGGTGCTGTTTGATTTTTCACCGATGAAATGGTATGTCGTATTTCGGAAGGGAGAACTAATGGTACAACATATCCATCCTCTATCATATGGCGGAAGGTGAACGTGGCTATCGAAGAGGTTTGAGTATTATTCGTGAATGATTTTCTCCATTGCCTTTCTGGACGCTGGAACAGATCCGTCTGGGCATCGGAGTGCAATCATCTTGGTCTTGTAATTGGCGAAGCTTTGGTAGGCTTTGCGAATGCTTTTCCCGGCCTCTGAAGCTTCGGCCATTACTGCTGCTCTTCTCTTTCTAAGATTTTCTTTTATCGCCTCTCTGCATTGCTTTACAAGTTCGGACGTTAGTTCACGGTTGCCTGCAGCTCGTACGATTCCACACTGGCGTATCAGCTCAAGTGTATCTGGAGACAAACGTCTTTTGGTGACTTTCGAACTCTCAGCTTTCATAGCACTAGCGTCAAGATGTTGAACGATCAAGATGTCGTATTAACCAGGATGGTGTGGTGGTGAAGTGCGCTGCTCCCCGGTAAGGACAACAGCGCGTGTTCGTTCTCCAGTGCATACACCTTCGGTCCGGAGTTTTGCAAATATCTTAGCATTTCATACGAGCTATATTTCGCAACATACCCTGCGATTAAGAAGAAAAAGGCAGCAAATAAAAGGGTTAAGATTGAGGATCGTATTCTTCGTCGACGTTACCTACAGCGAGATCTTCCCAACAGCCGACTAATGAATTGAGTAAGTCCCAGTTTACGGTGGTTCTGGGACTTCGGTTTTGGAATTTAGCGGCTTTTTCTCCTTTCTTCGTGAAATAGAACCTTGCACGAAAGAGACGGTGGTCTGATCCCGTGTAGAATTTTAGGGCAACAGCGACATCGGTTGGGCAAAACCATCTATTTACTATAGTGTGGTCTATTTCGTTATTTATAGTACTCTCTATTGGGAGACTCCTACGTCCAGCGCTGTGGGTGGGGCTTTTGGAATAGCGTGTTACCACGGAGTGTCTTGGTCGCCTTGATGAACTCAGATAGCCGCTCACCCTGTTCGTTCCATTCTAATCCGTGGGTCCCAATGTGACGTTCTTCAGACGTTCTTCTTGGTCCAATCTTGGCGTTGAAATTTCCAATGATAATCTTGAAAAATGTATGGTCTTCTCTGTAGAGCTTCTCCAAGTCCATATAGAACGCTTCGACTTCTTCTTCGTCATAGTTTGATGTCGGGGCGTAAGCAACGAAGATTGTCAAAGCCGGGATTGATCCACGTCTTTTTAATCGTAAACTCGATGTTCATGGACAAACTCTTGTTAACGAAAACGACGACGCCGCCGACTCCTCTACTGTCGCATTTTCCGATGAACAGTTCTTCTCCGGTGTCATAGACGGCGTTGAGCGGCTGACGTGCTCTCGTCTCGGCCAGGTCGATGACGTCGTACCTTGTCCTTCTTGGTTGCATGAGCAAATCTTCTATCGAGGACTCGGATGCAAGTGTACGTGCATTGTAGGTACAGATCGTCACCATAATTCTTCGTGATCCAGGCAACTTCCATTGGCCCTGAGATTTTAGCAGCCTCTCCGTACTCGTCCGACCCAACGCTGCGTAATTGGGGGCTCTTTCGGTGTCAGGGGAACTAGGCCCGTTTTTTTTTTACTGTGTTCTGCATTTTAATACCCACGTATAGCTTGCTGGACTCTGAACATGGGGCTGGGTGTACTCACGAGTAGCTTGCCAGGCTTTCCTGGAGTGGACATGGAGCTTAATTTGTTGAAGATGACTCCTATCCGCCTCCCATATAACTCGAAAGACCGACTTTCTATGAACCTCGGCATAAATAGTTGATATATTTATTTATGAGATCTTATAAACTGATCTTCTTAAGCTGACGCGAGGTTGGTACAGATCTTCGTTGTCGTTGTCGTTGTTTTTGATGTTATTGATCGATGGCTGACGTTTCGGCGACTTCGCCTTCCTCAGAGCCTGGACGTACTTTATGTTAGAATACTTTTTATTATTCGGTGGAAAAGAAGGTTAAAGTATTAATGAAGATCAAACTTTCAAATAGACGCCATATTGAACAGAAAGGCCACTCACCGTGATGTTACGTGCGGGACTGGCCCACACGTAGTTCACGTGGAGTCGCGAGCAAGACACGCCCCGGG